CCCCAGGCGGGTCTCGAACCCGCGGGCTCAGGCAATCCACTCACCTCAGCCTCCCAAAGCGTAGAATTACAGGCTGAGCCACCGAGCCCAGCTGAGATGTGAACTTCTAATTGAGCTTCTTCTCCCTGACTCCTTGGGCAGCCGTATCATTCCACGTAGACTGATTTAAAAAAAAAAAAAGTCCTCCATGGAATTGATTGGCAGGTGCAGAGTGACTTATTGAAGGCAGTCTATGTTTCAGTACCTGGGAAAACTTTAGTTTTCGAAGGAAGTCTCTGGAAGATGGGCAAAGTGCAAAGAAAGAGAAGAGAGACAGAGATGTAAGACAGCTGACTGGCTTTATTCACCCATGTATTGGCCAGTGAAGAGTACACCCATCAGCTGAAGGCCTCTGGGCAAATGTACAGAAACATTAGCATCACAGTCCAATCTAACTAAATTAAATCCAGGAGCCAAACGCTAAACAAAATTCCCATAAAAGGAAGGAAAAGAAGGGAGGAGGGTTATATGAGGTAGGGAAGGCGGGGAGAGGGAGTGGTGTGTGTAGAGGAATGAAGCAATGAAGGAGAAACAGCCAAATGCAAAAAGATGAATTCAGATGCCAGAAGACGTATGTCCTTAGAAAACTTGGGCTGGGGAATATTTGTTTGTCAATCAACACCCAACTTAGATGCTACCTCCTCCCAGAAAACTTTCCTGGTCCTCTCTGCTTCTGAAGAGTTAATCATCCCTCTATTGAGCTACCTCTTGGTTTATTTATTTGTTTATTCATTTATTTTGAGTTGCAGTCTCTCTCTGTCACCTAGGCTGGAGAGCAGTAGCATGATCACAGTTTACCACAACCTCAACCTCCTGGTCTCAGGTGATCTTCCACCTCAGCCCCCTGAGTAGCTGGGAATACAGCCATGCACCACCATGCCCAGTTCATTTTTTGTAGAGTTGAGGTCTCGCTATGTGTCCCAGGCTGGTCTCAAACTCCTAGGTTCAAGCAATCCTCCCACCTCAGTCTCCCAAAGTGCTGGGATTATAGGCAAGAGCCATCAAGTCCAACCCTTGTTTATTTTTATAGTTATGACATCAATTTCTTTCAATTATTTTACATATTATTAGACTGAGTGTTTCTTTTTTATTTTTTTGAGCTGGAGTCTCTGTCGCCCAGACTGGAGTGCAGTGACCGCTCCCAGCCACCGCAGCCTCGACCTGCTGGGCTCCGGTGATCCTTCCGCCTCAGCCTTCCAAGTAGTTGGAACTACAGGCGCGTGCTACCACACCCAGCTGATTTTTGATTTATCGTAAAAATGAGACCCGGGCCGGTCTCGAACCTGCGGTCTCAGGCAATCCACTCATCTCGGCCTCCAAAGCTGAGCCACCAAGCCTGGTCTTTTTTATATTTAAACTTCATTTATTGATTGATACTTTTATTTCTTTTTTGAGTTGGAGTCTCCT